GGTGGGTGGGGTGGGTGGGGGTGACGGGGGAGGAGGGTAGCTGCTCCCTCTCCCAGGCAGTAAGACTGATTGAAACAGCTGTGTGGGAGCTGAGCTGTTGTCAGAAGACTGAGAGCAATCTGTCTTCTGAAAATGAAAGAAGCAGGAAATTGCCCCCTCAGTGGCCTGCTAGTCCTATCCTCCCATGGAGATGCTGTGGATGTTTTAGGCATGAGGAGGAGGAGAAGGATCAGAAACCCTTGCCCTGTCTCTTTACCCCTCACTAAAGATGTCCCTTTTATTCTCATATGTCCCTGTCAGTTCTGATGGAGTCTGAAACAAAAGACCAGAGACTCAAGTCTCTGTTTGGAGACTAAAATGCTCACTATCTAGTTTATGGATGGAATCATTTTAATTTAGTCTGAGGGAGGTTTTGCAGACGAGTTAAGGAGGGAATACTAGCAAATGCATTTCCAAATTAGAGAGAGAGCGAAGGCTGAAGATGTATCTTTTGGAGAAGGAGGCTTGGGGGCTGTCCTGAGCTGAAGGGCCAGGCTAGCCTGCTCAAGAGGTGAAGTTTTGCCTTAGGTTGAAGCTTTCTAACGAGGAGATCCGGCAGGCCATCTTGAAGATGGATGAGCAGGAGGACCTCGCTAAGGACATGCTGGAGCAGGTGAGAACTCTCATGGGAAGAGAAAGGGAGTTGAACCTAGGGGGTCGCCCCACATCTTCCTGAGAGCCCCCAGAGAGGCTGAGACTTTTGGGTCAAAGAAAAATTAGGTGGGAGGAGTGGCAAAGGTTTATAAAAACTTCACTGAGCCAGCCTTTCTGGGGGAGGGCTGGAAAAGGCTGCATCTTTTCTAGGTGTTTTTGAGGTCTCTGGTGGAGCTATGAGATATAATCTTCTATGGGTTTCAAGGCAAAGTTAGGGTGACAAATGATTTTATCTTCTCCAGATCTCTTTCACCTCAATTTCTTATATTATTTAAGAGAAACCTAGAAAACACTAAACAAAAACCACCATCAACTGAGCTTCATTAAAATTATGAACTGCTCATTAAAAATTTCACTAATTGAACATAAAACAAACCAGACCTTAGAAGATATCTGTCAGTCTGTCATTCCTATATCTAGAAAACATCTCAGAATAAAGAACTTTGCAAGTAAGTGAGAAAATAACAAATAAATCAATTTTAAAATGAGCAAAAGACTTAAACAGGTACTTCATGAGAGAGGATTTCCACATGCCCAGTAAACTTGTGAAAGGTATTCAGGCCTATTTGTATCTGAGAAACACAGTTAACCACAATGAGATGGCATCACACACGCCCACCGGAGAAGCTAAAATTAAAAGACTGACAATGCCACATGGATGTGCGGCCATTGGCATTCTCATTTGGCAAAATCATTTTGGAAAACTATTTGACTATGCATACTAAAGCTAACCATATGTCTACCTTAATGCCTCATTATCTCACTCTTAGGTATAATAGAAATGAATACAAATACTGACTAAAAGACACACAAGAATGTAGCAACTTTACTTATAAAGCCCCCAAACTATGAACAACCCAAATGTTTATCAATAGGTAAGTGAATAAATAGGCCATGGTATATTCACATAATAAAATACTATGCAGCAATAAATAAAAAACAAACTACCAATACTCACAACATGGATGAATCTCACCCATAATATTGAACAAAAGAAGAAAGACTCTACAGAGAATATAAGAGGTAGGGTCTTCAAAGAGTTTGTGGAAAATGAATAGTATAAAAAGCCTAAGAATGGATTTCAAAAATTTTTGCACCAAAAGAAACTTATACTTTAATTCTATTTTTCCACGAACTCTCAAAAGTCCCTAGTACAGTATGAGTTCATTTATATGAAATTCAAGAATAGTCAACTGTAAGGTGATGAAATTCAGTTGTAAAGTTGGGAGGTAGAGACAAAAGGAGAGGCTTATTGAAGGGATACAAGGGGACTTTATGGAGTGAAAGAAATATTCTGTCCCTTACTCTGGATGGTAATTCAATAGATGGAGAGTTTTCACAAAAGTAATTGAAAATGCATATTTAAAATGGGTGCATTTTATCTAAGTTGTACCTCAATAAAGTTAGTTTAAAAAAAAAAAACTAATTGAACTGTGCACTTAGGAATAGTATACTTTACTGTGTGAAAATTTCAGGTTAATTTTAAAAGATGAAAAGAAAAAAAGAGGAAAAAAAGGAAGTAGCGAGCTAGGTGCCCTGTCAGCTCCTTTGTACAGATGAATCAGGAGCCAGTGCATGCCTGCGAGAGTGCCCACGTTCCTTGCAGGCCACCTCCTCATCATGAGAGAGTCTGTATAGGAGCTTCTCATGTGTTGTACCCCCATATCTGCTGCTCACCAGTTCCTTGTCTGACTTGGATCTGCTCTTTGTAGCTCCTCAAGTTCATCCCAGAAAAGAGTGACATTGACCTCCTTGAGGAACACAAGCATGAGATCGAGCGGATGGCCCGTGCTGATCGCTTTCTCTATGAAATGAGCAGGTGGGGGCAGCAGGCATGGCAGGAGGGGGTGGGGCTGGAGCAGGTGGGTTCTGCCAATGGGAAGAGAGATAGTGGAAATGCTACTAGGGGAGGCTAGAGCTGGGCTGGGGCTGAGGCTGGGGAAGTGATGTAGCTTGTCTTGTCTGCAGGATCGACCACTACCAGCAGCGACTGCAGGCCCTCTTCTTCAAGAAGAAGTTCCAGGAGCGTCTGGCTGAAGCCAAGCCCAAAGTGGAAGGTAAGGCTAGAGCTTGGAGGAGGTCTGGAGTGGAGAAGCACCTGGGAAAGAAGGTGGCAAAAGTCAATGAACAGGACCAGAGGAAAATTCCTTTCTTATTTTCAGGTCCAAAGAAAAACCAAAGTAAAGAACAAATTTTTAATGTATGATTAATATAAATATATGCACTTGTTATTAGCACAAGTGCCAACCATGTGACACACTGTGCCTCAGCACTCAAACTCCCCGAGGTGGGGCACTTGTTGACCCTGGGTCAGAAATGTTGAGAAGATTAATGGTACAGCCAGTCTGACAGGTATTGAACTTATCAATCTTTAGCCTACTTGAGAGGCACTAAGTTCATAGAAGACCTCTGGGCACAGTATCTTAAGTGTGAGCTATTCAGAAAGTAGGCAACTGAGCAAGGTGATCCCTGAAGGCATTTCATTTTCATTTTCCAGCACAGGCCTTTTCCTGATGAGAAATCTGTAATTAAATGAGAACCATGGGCCAAGCGCTGTGTTAAACATTCCTTGTGGATGGTCTCATTTGATCCTCACAACAGCTCCATAGTGGGTGCTATTATTAACCTCTGTGTGCTTCCATTCTCTCATCTCTAAAATGGAGCTGGTTGCCCAAGGCTGAGTTACTGGTGAGTGGTGGGGCCAAGATAGAAATGCAGATGCTGTTCTTTAAAACCTATTTCTTCACTCTTGTCCTGTAGTACTCCTTCTGGGACTGCCTGTGGGGATAGCAGAGGAGGAAGGCACAGAGTTGTGTGGAAGGGACAGCGGACAGACATGCATACCCAGGAGGGGTGGAGTAGGAGAGCCTAGGGCTGATCTATGTAGAGGAAAGGATCAGCAGCCAGAACAAAAGAGCCTGTGTCCAGAATGTAGATGGTGACCTGCTGGGGCAGAACAGAGTGTGAGCCCCCCTCCTGCTGGATACTAGGGCTAGTCAGTGTTCCCTGAGATGACACCCAGTCTAGAGAGTGGCCCTCCCTACAGTTCAATGAGCTGCTTCAGGGAGGATTCTGGGAATAGGGGAGAGTGGGCAGAGCTAAGGGAGACGTTTTCTGTAACCTGGACCCTGATCCTCCTCTCTCTCTCTCTCCCTCCCTCTCTCTCTCTCTCTCTCTCTCTCTCTCACACACACACACACACACACACACACACACACACATACACACACATAGAGTGCTTATGCAGTAAGGGACCTGCAGGAGGTGATCGTAGGGAGAAGGAAAGATATCAGCTGTTAACTCTGCATCTCTCAGATCTGGCTGCAACACCGACTGGCTATGGATGAATCCTTATCTTTCTCCTGAATGTCTTTCGTCCTGCTTCAGGCTGCCTTTGGGGTGAGAGGCACAGATAACGGTGTTCAGTCCAAGACATATGTGCTCAACTATTTGTGTGCTTTGGGTCAGTGGATCAAATGTGAGCATTTACCATGTGGAGGTATGGGACCAGGGTAACAAAGCCTCTGAGAAGGTTTAATCTCAGACAGTTCCCTGTTCCCAGGAGCACCCCATCTTAAATTTTCTGAGAGTGGATGCTCAGGAATGACTCTTCTTTGATAACAAGCTAGCAGAGCAAGACTTGTTTGGGATAGCAAAACCAGCCAGGGAAAGTCACTATTCTGTAGCTTTGCTCTATAATACACTTAACTGTAGCAATAGCTGTGATCTTTGAGTGGTCTAGAGGTCTCTTCCTTCTAACAGTTGTGCAGGGAAGAACTGTCTGAGTTACAAATATGTTATAGAATCAGAACAGTGTGTCTACTGGGGGTGGAGACAAAAGGATTGTGAAGGAGTTGGGGTTTCTATTTCTCCTCTGGCTCTCCCAGGAAAATTCCTGGGAGAGCTAAGATTTAGCCTGTCACAGCTTGTGGTGAGCCATTGCCATGTGCCCCTGCATCCTTCAGCAGGGGCTTTGGGTCGATTTGCCAAAATCCAATTTGCCAAATTTGACAGATTTACCAATTCATCTATGAATATAGTCATAAACATAGTCTTCTTGAATATATCCTTCTTATGAATATGTTTATTGCTGAATATACCAAATTTACCGATTCTCATTATGAATACATTCACTGAATATAGTCAAGATGAATATGGTTGTGAATGTAATATTCTTATGAATATATTCATGAATATATTATTCTTGTGAATATATCTAAAATGTCAGGATTGCATATGGGAGTTTTCCCATTTACACTGATTTCTTTTGAACTCCTGTCATTTTCTGTTTTGTCAACATTTTAGCATTTTTTTTGGATTCCTTTGCAAATTTTTCAAAGAGTATATCAACCTTAGAAACACTATCCCAGCCAATATAAATTGCTGGAAACTTTCATAAGTAGCTTTTTAAAAAATAAACTTTTAATTGACATAAAGCATGCATTTTGAAAAAGACACAAATCATGAGTTTTACTCATGAATCATTGTAAAGTATGTAACCAATACCCAGGTAAAGACATGGAATGCTTCTAACACCCCAGAGCCCTCCTCTATGTCCCTCTCCCATACCTTACTCCCTCTGTCCTTTCTAAAGGCCACAACTTTCTTCACTTCTAGATGACTTTTGTCTGTTTGGTGCTTTATATAAACATAATGACATTATATGAATAATTTTATGCTGGCTTCTTTGTGACTCACATGATTCTTGTGACTATCCCTAATATTACATGTAGTTGTGAATTAATCATTTTAAATGCTAAATTTTATTCCATTATATATAGCACAATTACCCATTCCATTTATAATTTTTTAAAAGATTAAAAATAGCCTAACTACCCATCAAGAATCCTGCTGGTTTTAGGTCATAGAGTATGCTTGCATTCACTTGGAGCTACTGACAAACCTTATTACTTATTTCTATAGCTTCTTTTCACAGTTACTTATTTTTAACTGCTTTTGAGGTTTTCTGCAAACTTTTAGTCACGTGGTTATTGTCTTATCTTCATAGCAGCATCTAAAGGAATGATCAGTTTGGCATAAGCTAATGATCATAGAATGGTTTGATCTTATTATCACATTTAGTATTCAAAAAGGATATCGTATAACCAGTAACCAAAATCTTAGTGTAGGATCAAAATTCTACTTTGGTACATCTACTACAAATACATAATAGCTAAAGAAGGCCACAGCATAAACTTCAGCATGAAATACTGAAGTTTTGGTTACTGTCAGCTTTAGTTTGTATTTCTAGCAAATATATCATTTAAGGTATGGGAAAGGAATACTTAAAATGTTTAAGGTTTGGAAATTTTTTTAAATTATATTCAATAGGATGTTAAGTAACTTATTTCATAGAATCCAGTAAAATGTTAAGCTGTAAAGCACAACATTAATTTATAGAACAAAAATAATGTGGGAATATTATAATGGATGACATGTTATAATTTTATAATTCAATATAATACAGTATTTCAGAATAGAAGCAATTCTATAATCTGTAGAATGCTGAATTAAAAATTTTAAGTGCTAGAGTTAGAAAGGTAAAAGTATTGGGACCAGCAGTTAGCGTAATGGCTATGTCACTGGACTCCCATGTAGTCGACTGTGGTTCGTGTCCCGGACCCGGTGGCTTAAAACTCACGCCAGGCGCGTGTGCGTGCATGCCCAAGATCCCAAGAGGAGAATGGAGGAGAAGGGATTGCAGCGTGACCATCCCCCCTGGGGGGTGATTTCTCGCTTTCTGTCTTTCTGTTTCTCTCTGTCTGTCTGGCGAGTGCACGTGCCCTATAGCAAAAAAACAAAACAAAACAAAACAAAACAAAAAAGGTAAAAGTATATTTATAGGAGGGATACATTGATAATATTTAAATACCTCTCTCTCTCTCTCTCTCTCTCTCACACACACACACACACACACACACACACACACACACACACATACACACACATAGAGTGCTTATGCAGTAAGGGACCTGCAGGAGGTGATCGTAGGGAGAAGGAAAGATATCAGCTGTTAACTCTGCATCTCTCAGATCTGGCTGCAACACCGACTGGCTATGGATGAATCCTTATCTTTCTCCTGAATGTCTTTCGTCCTGCTTCAGGCTGCCTTTGGGGTGAGAGGCACAGATAACGGTGTTCAGTCCAAGACATATGTGCTCAACTATTTGTGTGCTTTGGGTCAGTGGATCAAATGTGAGCATTTACCATGTGGAGGTATGGGACCAGGGTAACAAAGCCTCTGAGAAGGTTTAATCTCAGACAGTTCCCTGTTCCCAGGAGCACCCCATCTTAAATTTTCTGAGAGTGGATGCTCAGGAATGACTCTTCTTTGATAACAAGCTAGCAGAGCAAGACTTGTTTGGGATAGCAAAACCAGCCAGGGAAAGTCACTATTCTGTAGCTTTGCTCTATAATACACTTAACTGTAGCAATAGCTGTGATCTTTGAGTGGTCTAGAGGTCTCTTCCTTCTAACAGTTGTGCAGGGAAGAACTGTCTGAGTTACAAATATGTTATAGAATCAGAACAGTGTGTCTACTGGGGGTGGAGACAAAAAGATTGTGAAGGAGTTGGGGTTTCTATTTCTCCTCTGGCTCTCCCAGGAAAATTCCTGGGAGAGCTAAGATTTAGCCTGTCACAGCTTGTGGTGAGCCATTGCCATGTGCCCCTGCATCCTTCAGCAGGGGCTTTGGGTCGATTTGCCAAAATCCAATTTGCCAAATTTGACAGATTTACCAATTCATCTATGAATATAGTCATAAACATAGTCTTCTTGAATATATCCTTCTTATGAATATGTTTATTGCTGAATATACCAAATTTACCGATTCTCATTATGAATACATTCACTGAATATAGTCAAGATGAATATGGTTGTGAATGTAATATTCTTATGAATATATTCATGAATATATTATTCTTGTGAATATATCTAAAATGTCAGGATTGCATATGGGAGTTTTCCCATTTACACTGATTTCTTTTGAACTCCTGTCATTTTCTGTTTTGTCAACATTTTAGCATTTTTTTTGGATTCCTTTGCAAATTTTTCAAAGAGTATATCAACCTTAGAAACACTATCCCAGCCAATATAAATTGCTGGAAACTTTCATAAGTAGCTTTTTAAAAAATAAACTTTTAATTGACATAAAGCATGCATTTTGAAAAAGACACAAATCATGAGTTTTACTCATGAATCATTGTAAAGTATGTAACCAATACCCAGGTAAAGACATGGAATGCTTCTAACACCCCAGAGCCCTCCTCTATGTCCCTCTCCCATACCTTACTCCCTCTGTCCTTTCTAAAGGCCACAACTTTCTTCACTTCTAGATGACTTTTGTCTGTTTGGTGCTTTATATAAACATAATGACATTATATGAATAATTTTATGCTGGCTTCTTTGTGACTCACATGATTCTTGTGACTATCCCTGATATTACATGTAGTTGTGAATTAATCATTTTAAATGCTAAATTTTATTCCATTATATATAGCACAATTACCCATTCCATTTATAATTTTTTAAAAGATTAAAAATAGCCTAACTACCCATCAAGAATCCTGCTGGTTTTAGGTCATAGAGTATGCTTGCATTCACTTGGAGCTACTGACAAACCTTATTACTTATTTCTATAGCTTCTTTTCACAGTTACTTATTTTTAACTGCTTTTGAGGTTTTCTGCAAACTTTTAGTCACGTGGTTATTGTCTTATCTTCATAGCAGCATCTAAAGGAATGATCAGTTTGGCATAAGCTAATGATCATAGAATGGTTTGATCTTATTATCACATTTAGTATTCAAAAAGGATATCGTATAACCAGTAACCAAAATCTTAGTGTAGGATCAAAATTCTACTTTGGTACATCTACTACAAATACATAATAGCTAAAGAAGGCCACAGCATAAACTTCAGCATGAAATACTGAAGTTTTGGTTACTGTCAGCTTTAGTTTGTATTTCTAGCAAATATATCATTTAAGGTATGGGAAAGGAATACTTAAAATGTTTAAGGTTTGGAAATTTTTTTAAATTATATTCAATAGGATGTTAAGTAACTTATTTCATAGAATCCAGTAAAACGTTAGGCTGTAAAGCACAACATTAATTTATAGAACAAAAATAATGTGGGAATATTATAATGGATGACATGTTATAATTTTATAATTCAATATAATACAGTATTTCAGAATAGAAGCAATCCTATAATCTGTAGAATGCTGAATTAAAAATTTTAAGTGCTAGAGTTAGAAAGGTAAAAGTATTGGGACCAGCAGTTAGCGTAATGGCTATGTCACTGGACATGTAGTCGACTGTGGTTCGTGTCCCGGACCCGGTGGCTTAAAACTCACGCCAGGCGCGTGTGCGTGCATGCCCAAGATTCCAAGAGGAGAATGGAGGAGAAGGGATTGCAGCGTGACCATCCCCCCTGGGGGGTGATTTCTCGCTTTCTGTCTTTCTGTTTCTCTCTGTCTGTCTGGCGAGTGCACGTGCCCTATAGCAAAAAAACAAAACAAAACAAAACAAAACAAAAAAGGTAAAAGTATATTTATAGGAGGGATACATTGATAATATTTAAATACACGTGAGAAAAGATATTATCTAATGTGAAAGAGTTGGTACATTCTGAAAAAAATTTGTCTAGTGAATTGGCCTTTGGTGAGTTTGTTTCCCTTGGAGGTGGGTAGATGTGGAGATGTGAGTAGATTGGTTTGCTGAGGAGTGGGTAGTCTCTAGTCCTCTGAGAGCTGAAGATACTTGATAACATTCCTGAACTTGGGGTTGTATTTTCCTGGGGTGCCAGAAAGGGGAAGGCTGCCCTGGTGCAGGCTGTGCAGGGCTCTGATCTGTCCCTGCTCTCCCAGCCATCCTGCTGGCCTCCCGGGAGCTGATCCGCAGCAAGCGCCTAAAGCAGATGCTAGAGGTCGTCCTGGCCATTGGCAACTTCATGAACAAAGGGCAGCGTGGGGGC